TGCATCAGCGGGCTCGACTGCGTTAAAAGACAATGGCGTTTGTTTGGTAGGACGCTGAGTCACTGTGTGTAGCGGTATGACACACACACACCAGCTGGATAGATGGTGTGCCCCAAACAGGGGCCACGCGTTCGGGCTGTTTAACGCTGTCAGCCCCTGCTCTCTGGTTCAAGTGACTGCGAGTGTATAAGACTACTATCGCTATAAATGAATGCAGGCGCAAGTCACTGTCCCTGCGCCCATCCTGCGGCGGGGCACACGGACGACATAGTTCGTAACGACTATCATACAAAATTGCCACCTTCGGGAGAATACAATACGTGAGGAGTGCAATGTGTCGCTCAGAGTTGTAAACGCGGGTATGGAATGATGCGGATGCTCTGTTGCTCCTCCGATGGACGAGAAGGATAGGACCACATGAGCGTGAACAAAAGTATCTTCTCTCTGTTCTTCAATCCAATACGGACTTCAATCTACCCTGGTTCAATGAACTCGCTACAAGTTTTATGATTTATTTCAAAGCGTGCGCTATTTTTGATTTAAGAGCTGTATTGCGAAATGGTCGGAGATAGATTTGTTCGTGATGAATATACGACCAATTCTGCGACTGACGGTCACAGAATCGGCTAGTCTTGAAGAACCGCGCACGAAAAGGCATATCGAATGTGAAAATTTCCGATAGGATGTATGTAGGATGTGAAAGAAGGTAATCCAAAGATCTCTGAAGTCTGTGATAACAGAAGACATAGAAGAGTGCGAAATCCGAGGCATTCGATCCTGCATTTGAGCCTACAGTAGAGGCGCGGATTCAAGAAATTTTGGTCTATATGCCTTTTTTCATTAGATGTCCACCGGAAGTATGCGAATCCTACTTCTGAATTCCTTTGTCCCGGATTGAATTGAATTGTCTCGAACTAAATTATTCAAATCTGCCAACCTCCTCCCTACCCCTAATAAGTATTCAAGTCCATCGGAAGTTTAAACGGAAAGCCAGCATACTATTGTCTCAAGAAATAACCACAGAACCCCGTTTAACGTACATCTGTTTTACAAGCAAATAAGGGCATGCATTTTGCCAATTCAGCTGAAACGTACTCTGATGTGAAGTACAGGCAGGCAAGGACTTCGGTAACAAATACTTGGATCAAAAGTGGTAGATAAGACCGAGAAAAAGAAAGGACGTCAAACTTACGTTCGAAAACATCGTTTACAATATCTTCGGGGAGTACAACGTCATCAATGTCGTTGGAGATAGCCGGCCCAGTGCGAAGTGAATTGTGGTCAGAGTAATCACTATCCGTGGGCTGAAAAGGGCGGACAGATTGTGCCCCGCAACCACCCAGTGGAATTGACTGACTACTGTTCGGTTGTGGACCTGACGGGAGTGGACCGTTTTTCATGCTCTGACCCAGCAGAGGCGGAAGAGCCGAGGGATGATGGAAGGTCGGCGTAGACATTTGTGGTGAACAACCCTCACGCAGATACGCTTCCTCATTAAGCGGACGCGGCATGGGATCCGAAGGGGAAGCATGAAGACTTTGATTGGAGCAGCGTGTGATCATCATTGGGCGAGACTGCTGCTGCTGCTGTTGCTGTAGATGTTGAGGCGGTGGTGGGGTAGCGTAGTTGGGGGGAAGAGGGGCGTTACCCGTGTGATATGGGATCTGTTCGTCGATAGCTGTAGGCGAGGCATCAAACGCGTAGGGCGACACTACGGGAGAGGCGGTAGCATGACTCCCGAGACCGGGAGCACATCCTCGAGGGTAGTGCTGGCCAGATGGCTGAGGAGGCGGTGGTGGTACGGATTGCATATCCGGATCAACCAATGGTTGACCGCTAGGCATCCTAGACCGGTAGTGTGGAGGCTGGTCATTTTGCCTACCAACATACCCGCGCTGAAGGCCTGTTGTATTGGGTCCGTGTTGTTTCGGTGAATGAACCACAAGACCACCACCTGCACTGTCATTGGTCCTGGAATCAACACCACAGACGCCAACAGCAGTTCTTATATTTCTCATCTTGTTAGTCATGCCAGAGGGGTCGTTTCGAAACTGTGCTGAAACCTCGGCAGAAATTTGGCATCGGTTGGTAACGACCATCCTTAGCTCAGCTTTGAC